GTTTCTCTCCATGTATATGATACATATACACGTGCATACATATATACGACCACTCTAAGAAAAAAAAAATACTGACATTGGGAATTCCCCAACAAAAATGGTCCAGGCAGATCACCTACAGTGACGTTCATAGCCAAAAACCCCACTCGTGTAATCACAAGCCCTCCGCTTCCAGAGTTTTGGACTTCCCTCCAAAATATGAACAGACAAAAACAAAACAAAACAAAAACACACGTATGACCAGACTTCTAGGGATTACTAGATATCAGTAAAGCCTCAGGAAGAAAGATAGAAAGGAACCCAACAAATCGGAAGGGGCGGCGAGGGGGAGACTTGGAGCAAACAGATTATGCAGAGAGGAGAAAATGTGAAAAAGACAAGATACTGTAACTTCGAACCATGCGTGTTATAAAATAGGACACTGTAAGTAATACTATGAAATTGAGAAAGTAGTATAAAAATTCAGAGATAAAAAAAAAGAGTTCTTAGGTGGGGGGCACCTGGCTGGCTCGGTTGGAGGAGCATGTGACTCTTGATCTCAAGGTCTTTAGTTCAAGCCCCACATGGGGTCTAGAGATGATGAAGAGACATAAGTAAAGTTAAAAAAAAAAGAGTTCTTGGAAATTGAACATATACTCACAGAAGTGAAAAGCTGAATAAAGAGTGGAGGATAAGGTTAGGAAGAGCTCTCAGGAAGTAGAGCGGAAAGATAAAGAGCTGAAAAAATAAGAGAATGAAAGGAAGAGACAGTTCAGGAAGCCCGATACCAAATTAATAAGAGTTCCAGAGAGAAATGGAGGGAAGGGGGAAATCACAACTGAAAGAAATCAAGGAAGTTTCCCAGAATGAATGACAGGAGGACACCCTTGAGAGGTCCAGCGATGAAAATGAACGAAGACGCTTCACTGAGAAATGTCAACACACTGAGAAGAAAAACAGGTGACACACAGGCTTACGGATCAGAATGATTTTGGATTTTTTACCAGTAACGCTGGTAATTAGCAGACAACAGAGCGACGCCTTCAAAATTCTAGAGGAAGGGTGCCTGGGTGGCTCAGCCGGCTAAGTGTCTGACTTCAGCTCAGGTCATGATCTCGAGGTTTGTGAGTTCGAGCCCTGCGTTGGGCTGTCTGCTGTCTGTGCAGAGCCTGCTTTGGATATTCTCTCCCTCTTGCTTTCTTCCCCTGCCTCGTTAGCTCGCTCGCTCTCTCTTCCTCAAAAATAAATATTAAAAAAAATTAGAGAGAAAATGACCTCCAGCCCAGAATTTTATACCCAGCCAGAAGGCCTACCAAGACTAAAGATGTTTTCGACATGCAGTGTCTCTAAAATTTTACACACACACGCACGCACGCGTGTGCGCCATGTGCCTTTTGTCAGGAAGCTCAAAAGAACAAGAGAGAAAAATCCAGGAAGGGTGAGGTTTAGGATGTGACAGAATCCAAACCAGGGGACCGGTGAAAGGATGGGGATAGTAGCTATGCAGCATGCCGGAGCAGGTCAGAGGCCACGAGGGAAGCTTCGTCAGTATGGTGAAATTAACGGAGTACCTGATGCAAATGAGCATGTGAAGAAGAGATTCACATAGTTAAGAGCATTTTGAATTAACAAAGAAAACTCAGCCACTAAGCAAGTGGGAAAAAAAAAAAGAAAGACAATGATTAACTCCAGGAAAAACAAAGAATTGTGTAGGAGAGGAAAGTAATCATGGTTTACTACTTCTGGCAGCTGTGGGAGCATTTACACAGTCATAACATATAAACACTGCATTTTCATCTAGCCAGAATCACAGTGTGGGAGGCTGGAGTAATTTGAATAAGAGTATGAGTATGTGTCTCCCATAGTAAGAAGTGAATGGAAAATACCCGAAATTGAAAAATCAAGAGGTAGCCATACAAACACGGTATTTCGAGACAGGGACACAAACAGCAAAATGATACAATAAATGAGGTAAACGCAGATTGCTCTGGGGCGGGCGAGATGGGAAGGGTAGGCAGATGGGACACTGTTGGCTTTCGCTAAAAAA